GTGGGGCACACAGCCCCATGGCGCCAAGAAGACGATGGGGAGGAACCTTCCTAAGGGGCTTGGTGAACAAATCAGCTAGGTTACAGTCAGATGCAATGTACTCCACCTTCAGCTGATCACGTTGAACGAGGTCATGATTGAAGGAGTGGCGAAGGTCGATGTGCTTGGTGCGAGTGTGAAACACGAGTTCCTGGGAGATGGTGGATGACACTTTTGTTGTCACACCAGAGGGTGGGAATGAATTGAGGGCAGCCAAGCTCCTGGAGGAGAAAGGTGAGCCAACGAGCCTCCTGAGCCGCCATCCTCCCAGCATATAGCTCTGCCTTACAAGATTAGAGGGAGACTGCAGAGAACCTGGTGAAGCGCCAACTAACAACTCCACTACCAAGGGTGAAGCAATAGCCCTGAGAGGAGCGTCGGTCGGTCTGGTCATCGACCCAAGGCTCACAATAGCCCTCTAGCCATGGAGGAGAGAGACCACCAAGGGTGAGGACATGAGACTTGGTGCCCTGTAGATAGCGTAACACCCGCTTCCGCTGTCCAGTGAATATCGGTAAAGCGTCCAGGAGCCACATAGCGAGAGAGAACACTGACAAGGTATGCCAGGTCAGGCTCGGTGCACATCATGGCGTACATGAGGGACCCAACAAGCTACGAGTATGGCTCGGAGCAGGCCTCTGGTGTGGGTATAGCTGGAGCTGTGAGGAGGTGCTGCATTGGCAGCGAGGTGGCAATATGTGTGCAGGATCCCATCTCATATCGCTTGAAAGCATTGTCTATGTAGATGTTATGGGAGAGCTAGATTGTGCGAGCCTAACGATCACGAATTATCTCCATCCCCAAGTAGTGCTTGAGATCACCAATGTCCTTCATCAGAAAGGCCTTGCTCAGGGCCGTCTGGACTGAAGTCATCTGGGCCGAGTCCTTGGAGACTGGGATGAAGTCATCGACGTAGACAAAGATGTAAAACGGCTCAGAGTGACGGAGAATGAAAAGAGTCAGGTCAGCAGATAACGGGTGAAAGTCAATAGGAGGACCTCCTTCACTTTGTTGTGCCACTCACGAGGAACTTGCTTGAGGCCGTAAACAAGGCGATTCAGTTTCCAGACAGTGTTGGGAGGAACCTCTCCCGGAAAGCCTTCGGGTTGATCCATGAGCACAGTCTCTTTGATGTATTATTGCAGGAAAGCCGAAGAAGCGTCCATGGATTTCATCTCCATGTTTTCTCGTGCGGCCACATCCACGAGCGTGCGAACGGTGGGTGGCTTGGCCGCGGGAGAGAAGGCCTTGAAGAAGTCCAAGTACTGCTATTGAGTGAATCCCTTGGTCACACAGCGTGCTTTGAACATTGGGGCCTTGTCCAAGAGCTGTTTCACTCGGAACAGCCACTTGCCTCCAACGATGTTGACTCCTGGAGGTGGAGTAGAAGGGTCGAGTCTCATGAAAGACAACATCGCGGCTGCGGACTAGTTATTAGGTAGTTGGGTTGAGGAAGAGTTAGTCAGGGGAGTCGGCATTATGCCCAAGATAGATGCACGTTAAGTCTTGGGGCCGAGCTTGCCGCTTGCTGTCGCCGAGCCTGACATAGGCGGTGCACCCCCAGAAGCGAGGAGGGCAAGCAGTGGGTGTTTTCCCGAGCCAGAGTGTGGTGGGAGTGGTGTTGGGAAGATGCGGGTGGGGGTAAAGATTGTAGAGGAGGGATGCATGGTAGAGGGCGTACCCCCAAAGTGAGAGTGGTGCGTAGGAGTGGTTGAGGAGGCAGCGAGCGATCTGCACCAAGGTGTGATTACGACTCTCTGCTATGCCATTCTGCTGTGGGCTGTCAAAAAGTGTAAAGTTTTGTTGAATGCCGCGAGAGGAGCAGAAGGTTTCGAGCTTGCTAATACAAAATTCACCACCACCATCCGAGTAAATCACTTGACCGTGGTGCCAAACCTTCGCCTGTCGAAACCCATGCGATGATAACCCCTGAAGCCTCAGCCTTGTTATGGATGAGATGAACAAAGACGCAGTGAGAGTGATCATCGATTAGTGAGAGGAAGTAGCGATGACCACTTCGTGCAGTAATAGGGGCAGGACCCAAGACGTCCATGTGCACAAGGTCCAGAGGGGCTGCTGCAACTGAGGGTGAGGCAGGGTGAGGATGTAGGTGCAGTTTGCTCTTGGTGCAGTCAAGGCACGTGGGAGCGTGAGAGTCAGGTGCTGGAGGAAGCGAGGCTGGTAGGCCGAGAAGAAGTTTCTTGGAGGCCATGTCAGCGAGCGTGCGGAAGATTGGGTGTCCGAGGCGGTGATAGAGAATGGTTGGGTTGGCTAGGCTGCGGCATGAGCATGGTGTGATAGCAGCCTGTGCTTGGGTGGTTGACACCTGTGGGGCCGATAAGCGCAGAGTGTAACGGTCGCTGCTATTGAGGGTGAAACGAGCTAAGAACTTGTTGGTGAAGGGGTCAATGATATTACAGTAGTCAGCGTGTAGAGAAAAGATGGTGAGGACCCCCGCCTTTTGAAGTTCTTTTTTAGCCACTAGATTGTGGCGCAGTGAGGGCACGCACATGCCAGTGACTGTGTCGGATGGGCAGGGCACATGACTGTGGATGACCCCTTGGCATGAGTGGTGAATCTGGAATCAGCTCCCAGGAGTGGTATGGGTATTGTATACGGTTGAAAGGAGAGTTTCTCCTTGAGCACTGTGTGAGTGGCTCCACTGTCGTGTGTGAATTCTATGGAAGCTGGTGATTGTTATGAGCTGATGTACTGCGAAGTCGTTTCACAACATATTGAGCTGGAGCACTATTACTTGCACCATCCTGAGCGGGTTCCTGCGCCTCGACTTGGTTGAGGGGGTGGTTAGTGCCACCACACACTTGTCCCTTGCGGTTGCCATACTTGACGACGTAGGTGCATGGATGGAAACGGTTGCGCTGGAAGGGCGCGGAGGTAACACTTGCTTGAGGCACAGGAGCACGGAGGGTGTAGGCCTTGGCTTGAGCCGTGATGTCTCTCTTGACGGAGAGGAGTGCGGAAGAGGTCTTAGGGAAAGTGAGGTCTTTCGCCGAGAGGGCGAGGAGCATCTTCCTCATGATGTTGTAGGCCGGAGTGAAGCCGACAAGAAGAGCGGCTGGGGAGCTTGCTCGGGGAAGATTATGCCGAATTCCTTGATCTCGCCATGATTGGTTTGAACCCGAGAAATCCTCTAGGCGGACCTGGAACATGCTAGGGATAAGGATCGCCACACCGACCGCTATCTTGTTCATAAAACAATCCTGAAAATGCTTCCATATGACGTTGGAGGTAGGGTAGCTATGGAAGGTGTCGACGAAGTCGGGAGGGGTAGTGCCGATGAACACGCTAATGATAGCCGCATCGGCCTTCTCCCAACGGCGGAGCTTGTCAACGGCTGCCTCATATTTCCTAGTTGCCTCTGCGCTGGTAGGATCGGACGGCGCCGTGGGAATGGAGGGCTGCTTTCCTTTGCCGTGGTTGAGCAAAACATCTTCGATGTAAAGCCATTGCACCTCACGGCTCAAGAGGTGCTTGTCAACCCCGTAGTTCCATGCCTTGTAGTTGGAGCTAGTGCCGTCGGCTTCGACGCGAAGAGGGGTGATAGGATTGGCAACGGTAGAGGAAGCGAACGCCATGGTGAATATATTTCTTCGTTTCCACGCAGAGCAGCTTATGTCGCCGTAGGCGAAGCGCTGGCTCTGCGAAAAAATGACTTCCTGAGAGCGATATTCGTGCAATTTGAAAAGGAAACCTTCAGATTTAGGGGGTTTGATCCAGCCGCTGTGGGGCGACAGGCGGCGGTCCAAAGTTGAGGAGACGCGCAGTTGCGGGGCGACGGGCGGCAGCCCGACGATGAATTGAAGTATCGCTGCAGGGCGACGGGCGACAGCCCGACGATAAGGAGAAGTGCCGCGTATTCGGGAAAGACCAGCGATAAGGGCTTATACCGACGATTCGCGTAACAAAAAATGCAAAAGTCGATGCGACGGTAAGGTGAGGGAGAAATTCCGGCCAGAGATGTCGCGAATCGACGGCGACGGGATTGAAGGCTTTGCCGAAGAGTGCGGGATGAGGACCCGCATAGGTAGGAAGATCACGATACGCGTGTGCGTCTGAAACGATATGATACCATATCAGAATTGGAGCTTAGAGTTGATGCATTGGTAATGAGCTCTTTATCCCTAAGGATTGGGGGTAATCCCAAGGCAATCTTCGATTGGTAGGTTGGAGATTGCTTGGAAATCACATTTAGGTTTGTTTGGAATGTGGGTGTACACCCAACCAAACACAAAGTGCAAACAACACTAACCTAGGATATAAAAAGTACAAGCACAAAAGGTGAGATTTTCGTCTAACACTAACATCGTCCACTAAGTATTCTACGGTCTGTGTGCAAATTACGGGAGTGTGCTCTCTCAGCGGTGCTTTTCCTTTCTAGTTGCTGGTTTCGTCTTCTGTCTGTCAAGACCATAATCTCTCTCATCTCAATGCTTGCCAACCTTCAATTTCCCCTCCCTCCACCGCCTATACTTGTTTTTTCTGACCTCCAGCTCTCTTCGTCCAGCTCAGCCCATGGTACGTGGCACATCACAGACCCTGCCACGTGTCCAGCTTTCTTTGGCAGCTGGGGGCTGCTATTCGAGGCTCAGTGGGGCGGCAACCAGACCGGAGGAGCATCCGTGGTCCGAACCACCGGTGCAGGTTCGGGCCGAGGAAGTGGTTCAGGTTCAGGCCGAGCCAGCGGCTCACCTTTAGGCTCATCTTTTGGCCGAAGCGGCTTTTCTGGCCGGGCGGCAGCAGTGCATCCAGTTGCATTTGGGGAGGGAGGAAGAGGAGGAGGGAGTGGGGATGGGGGGCGATGGAGGAATGTAAAGGATGAAAGGTATGGAGGAGGGGGGGACTGGTGGGATGTTGATGATTCGTTCACGCATTGGCGCGGGTATGCTCGTGCACATGCTGCCAGTGCATATGGCCATGGCACAGCAGACAGCCACTCGGCCATGGAGAAGGCATGGCGTGGGCTGCAATGGGCGTCTGGGTGGGCAGGCATAGCGCACATGCCTCTCGACCTCTGCCTGCGCTGCTCCCTCGCCGTTGTTGTTGCCAGCTACAGCTGGATGGCCCACCCTGCCACCTCAGCAGATCCTGCCAGCTCAGCAGGAGATGCGTGTGCGCAGAGCACGGTGCTGCTGGTGCTGGCGTGCTGCCACCTGCTCTACCTCGCCCTTGCCCGTCCCTTCATCAGTATGACTCTCCTCCTCTCCGCCCTCCTCGCGTCTGCCTCCCACGTCTCTTTCTTCGCCGTCGCCCTTGCCATTGCCACGGGCGCCATTCCCCCCTCTGCTGCTGCAGCGGCAGGGGCAGGGATGCAGGCCCTGCTGCTTGTATCTTTCCTGGGCCACCTGATATGCTTTCTCCGTGCCCTGGTGAAGGACACAGCAGGGGTGGGGGTTAAGTACTATGAAGGCGCATTTGGGAGGAGCAAGGGGCTGGGAGGGGCGAGGAGGGGGAGGAGTGGCAGGGGCGGAGAGGAGGTGGAAGAGCAGGGGTGTGCGGGGTCAGTGAGTGAGGTGGCTGGCACGGACCGGTCGGTGACGCTGACAGGGGGCTTTCTGGGCGGCCTCTCTCTGCTCGCCTACGGCCTCGTGCTCCTCTTCCTCGGCCCCTTTGGCTTCGGCTCCCCCCGATCTGATTCGGATTCTGACAAGGATTCGGGCGGCGATTCTGCGAGCCAATCAGGGTGGAGGAGAGGGTGGGGGGTGGGGAGGAACAGGGGAGGAGGAGGGGGGGAAGGGGGCGGATGGGGAGGGGGAATAGGGGCAAGGTTTCACATGGAGAGGCGGGGTGAGCTAGGGGGGTCGCCAGAAGCGGCTTTTCCCGTGAAGGGGAGCTCAAAGGGGAGTAGCCGCGGCAGGTCGGGCAGCCAAAGTAGCAGCGGTGACCACAGTAGCGGTGGCGGAGGCGGCAGTGGCAGGAGAGCTTCTAGTGGCCCAGCTTATAACGAGTATGGTTCTCCGAACCGGATGACGGGTTCCGAGACTAGACCGAACCAGTCTGGGGCCTCTCGGTTGGATTCAGCAGGGCAAGCAGGTACGGGGGATGGAACCTCTAGGGGGAGGAGGAGGGGGGAGTCGGGGGGGAGGGAGGAAGATGGGGAGGTGGGGGGGTATGGCACGGACGAGAGGGAGGAGTGGCGGAACTCCCCCCGTGCGCTCATGCAGCTGCTGCCCATGCTGGCGCCCTCGTGGGCTACAGAAGGGGCGGGGGGGGAAGGGAGAGGGGGAGGGGGAGGGAACGGGGGAAAGGGGGGACGAGGAGGAGGGGATGGGGCATCCCGGGAAGGTGCTAGTGTCGCTGCTGCGGCTGCTGTTCCTGCTGGTGCTGGCACGGCAGGTGGGGGCGGTGCCGGGGTGTTGGGTGCGGTGCTTGGAGCAGGTGCTGCAGCAGCTGCGCTGGGTGTTGGCGTTGTCACTGCAGCTGCTGCTGCAGTCACTGGCACAGGGGGTCAGACACAGAACCATGATAAGGCCCATACAGGGCAAGCAAAGCCGAGGGGGGGGTTGCACCTGCTCAGCCCGAGCAGGTGGGGGCGGAAGGGGCGGCAGGAGAAAGAGAACTGGGGGAGGGAAGGAGCGACAGCGGCTGCGGCTGCGGTTCCTGCCTCTCCCTCTGCTGCTCCTGAAGGCCCTGCTGGCAGCGGTTCTCCAAGCCCGCTCTCTCCGCGGCGCCTCTCCCCGCTGCCTGTGCTGTGTGGCAACCACAGCGGCGCCCTGGCTGCAGCAGCAGGGGCGAGCGTGGGCGTGGCGTCCGCGTCTGCTGGGCCATCCACGTCTCTGCACTCCGACTCCTGGTCCTCCCTCTCCTCCCTCTCCTCCAGTGAGCGTTCTGCTGGCGCCGCTGCTGCTGCTGCTGCACTGATGGAGGGAGTGGGGGGAAGGAGAGGCGGGGGAGGGCGAGGGGATCGGGGAGGGCGCGGGGAGGATCCGTTTGGGGGGCTGCGGGCGAGGGTGGAGTATTTGAGAAGCAGGCGGATGCAGGAGGTGGGTGGGGGGCCTGGGAGAGAAGAGAGGGGTGCGAGAGGGGAGAGGGAGAGGAGAGAGGGGTTGGGGGGAGGAGGTGTGAGAGAAGGGAGGCGAGAAGGCAACAGGAGCAGAAGTGGGAGGGAGGAGAGGAGGAAGGGTAGAGAGAGGGGAAAAACGGGAGCAGGGGAAGGGGAGCTTGGTGGAGTGAGGGAGGGAGAGGAGGGGGAGGAGGGGCAGGAGAGAGGGGTAGAAGTGGTTGTAGACTCGGAAACGAACATGAGCTGGGCTTCTAGTGTGGGCTCTGGGGGTGGGCCGGAGTGGATCAAAGAGATGAAGGGGCGCGGAGGGGGGAAGTGGAGGAAAGGGAGGGGGGTGAACGGAAGCAGAGGAGGAGGGGGGGAGGGCGAGGAGGGGACGATGGGGTCAGCTGCATGGTCGGGGATAGGCGGGGTGCGGGTGGACAGTATGGGGTTCCGTGTTGACAGTGTCAAGTCCGTTCAGAAGCCTCAGGGCGACCAAACACATGGCGCTGCTCCACATGTTAAGGCGGCTGCAGCTGGTGCTCAAGTTGGTGTTGCAGCAGCAGCAGCAAGAGCGGGAGCAGGAGGAGAGGGCGATGATCTAGGGCGGTCTGTTGTGGCCAGCTGTAGCGTGGGCCCTGATTGCAGCCCCACCATCCTCACCCCCACCTCGCACACCCCCATCACTCCACACGACCACCATCACACCCTCTCTCGCAACAAATCTCTTGATGCCAATTCCGGTCCCGATGAATATCCGTCCCCCTCCCTCTCCCCTTCCCCTTCGCGCGCGCCTGCCCCTAGAAGGCCGCACCGCCTGCCGTCCCTCCCTGAAGCGCCTCAGAGCGCCTCTCCCGACCCCCGCCGGCCCTACACCCCACAGCCCAGAGCGGTGAAGAACGGTTATGCATGGTCCAGCAGGCATGCGGCGTATGGCACAGACACTGAAGCTTCCAGGGAAGCTTCCGAGGTGACTCCAGGAGCGTTCCCCCCTTGTGCTGATGCTGCCGTTGCTGCTGCTGCGGATGTGGCAGATAGATCTGGAGCAGGTGTATCTGGGGCAGGTGTATCTGGGGCAGGTGCGGTGGTTCAGGCCGTTGGTATGCCCAAGGCTGCTTTTGCGGTCACCCCACAGCTGAACTCTCAACGTAGACCCAACCGTGCTCGACCCTCCGCCTCCTCCTCTCGCTCCATCTCTGCTTCTTCTCAGGCGTCCAGTGCTACAGCTGCCGTGCCGTCCTCCCCCTCGGCCCTCACAGTGGACGCGGCTGTGGAAGCCATGGCTGCTGCAGCAGGGGGCGACCCCGCGCTACAGCCTGGGATCTGGGGCATGGTGGCTGGTGCTGCTGGGTCAATCATGGGAAGCTTCTGGGGTGCTTCCCCCGGGGATGGGAGAGGGGTGGAAGGAGGGGAGGGAAGGAACGGAAGTGAGGAGGGGAGTGGGAAGGGAGGAGGGAGTAATATGGATATGGAGGGTTCTTTATCACAACTTGACGGGTCCCTATCGCAAATGGATGGCTCTCTCTCACAGCTCAATGGCTCCATGTCTCAGACCCTCACACCACTCTCCTCCGTGTCTACCCCGCCCTCCCTCTCCTCGCCCTCCACCTCTCCTTCCGCTCTCTCTAACACCACCCTCTCTAATGACAAGCAGCCGTCCACACTCTCTCGCAGCATCACCCCTCTCGCCTCCCTCACTCCCGCCTCCTCGCTCTCGCCTCTCTCCTCCGCCGCCCCACTCTCCTCCCTCTCCTCGCCCCAATCAAGCTGCGACACGTCAGCATCCAGTGCGCGGGAAGAAGGGAAGGGGTATGAGCACGGGTCACTGGTGGATGCTGCTGGGCGGAAGGAGGGGCGAGAGGCAGTAGAACTGGCGCCACCACCAAACCGAAGCGGCTCGTTCGGGAGAGGGGGAGGAGCGGGTGTGCAGGGAGGATACGGGGAGGTGGGGAGGGTGGTTGAGGTCGCAGGGCAGGGTGGGGCTGTGGCTACGGGAGTAGGGACGGGAGGGGAAGGGGGACGGGGGAGGGGAGGGTATATGAGGAACTGGCTGCAGGAGAGAAGAGAGATGAGTGCAGGGCGGCAGAAGGCAGCAGCTGTAGCAGCAGCGAAGCCGGCACCACCAGCTGTAGCAGCAACAAGGCCGACACTACCAGTTGTAGCAGCAGCGAAGCCGGCACCACCTGCTGTAGCAGCAACAAGGCCGACACTACCAGTTGTAGCAGCAGCGAAGCTGGCACCACCGGCTGTAGCAGCAGCAAAGCCGGCACCACCAGCTGTAGCAGCAACAAGGCCGACACTACCAGTTGTAGCAGCAGCGAAGCTGGCACCACCGGCTGTAGCAGCAGCTCCAGCAAAGGTGGCAGCTGCAACAGCAAATGTTCCTGCAACAGCGAAAGCAGCAGCGGCGGGCGAAAGAGCCAAGGCAGGTGGAGCAGCAGAGGCAGGGAGGGCTGGCCTGGCAGCAGCCGACATGACACCTGGATATGGGAGAGAGGCAGCAGGGAGAGGGGGCATGGCAGCAGGAGAAATGGCAGGTGGATATGGGATGGGAGCAGCGCCGCAGGCAAGGGCTCCAGTGGTGGTGCGGCATGCAGTGATGCATGCTGGCGGGACGTTCGTTGGACTGGGCGCGGGTGAGGGAGGCACTAGAGGAGGAGAATGGGAAGCAGGGAGACGGATGGAGAGAGGAGGAGAGAGGGGGATGGAGAAGGGAGGAGAGTGGGGGATGGAGAGGGGAAGAGAGAAGGGGGTGGAGAGGGGACGACCAGCAGCAGGAGGGGAGGAGAGAAGCGGGTTGGCGGCAACCAAGGGAGCACCCTACTCAAGCCACCCAAATCAGGACTTGAGCCACTTGAATCAGGAGTCGAACCACTTAAATCAGGACATCAGCCGTCCGGATCAGGCTATGCGGGCTATGGCAGATGAAGACCGCATGGACATTGAGACAATTTCAGAAACAACCCCGATATCCGAGTCCACACTGTCAGTTACCCCGTCCCCATCTCAGTCCAACTCCTACTCTCACGGCCCGTCCAGGTCGGGCCTGCGCCTGAGATCCTGGACCAAGTCCAGGTCTTGCTCCCAGGCGCACTCAGGTGCTTTCTCAGGTGCCCACTCAGATGCCCGCGCTGCTTCGGGCTCCAGCAGGCAGTTGAACGGGCAGGTTAACGGGCAGGCAGGTTCCTTTTCAGGGTCGCAGGGTGGTTCTTGTGGCGATGATGTGGTGGGTAGAAATTCAATCGGCAAGGGGACATCGCACAGGGGGGGTTCGTCTGCTGCTGCTTCTGCTGCTGCTGCGGCAGGTGTTTCTAGTGATAGAGAGTCATCTCCTGCTGCCAACTCAAATGCTGCTGCAAACTCGAATGCTGCTGCTCCTTCACACCCACCCCATCGGTACAGCTTGGCAGACTCGCTCTCAGACTCATTCTCCTCGTCCTTCACCACCTCGATAGAGCCCACCCCCATACAGTCACTCTCCCCTCTCTCCACCTCGCTGCTCTCCCCGTCCGCCCTCTCTGCCTCGCTGTCTGCATCGGAGGGAGGGGGCTTGAGCGCTGTGAGAAACGAGATCGAAAGGCGGATAATGGAGACCAGCCGAGCACTGCAGACAGAGGGGAAGGTGGAGGGGAAGGGGGAGCACGGTGAATGGGGGGAGAGAGGAGGTGGGGGGGTGAGGCATTGGGGGAGAGAGGGAAAAAAGGTGGAGGAAGAGGAGAAGAAAATGGAGGGGGTTGAGGAGCGGGAGGAGGAGAGGAGGGAGGAGGAGAGGGACGAGAGTCCTCTGAGGAGAATGCCCGTGTGGGGCGATGAGGCAGACGACAACACTGCCACCTCGCCCCCGCCCATTGGGGGTGGGATGATGGGTAAGGCGGGCAGGGGTGTGCCTGACAGGTATGGGGCAGGGAGAGAGAGTGGGCATGCCGCAAGTGCTGCTGCTGCTGCTGCTGCTGCTGCCATTGCTGCTGCAGCTGGTTTTGCTAATGCGCCTGTTGCTGCTGCTGCTGCTGCTGCTGCTGCTGTTGGGTCTGCTGCTGCGGCTAAAGAGGACATGGCGGCAGCAGCGAGAGTGTCTGCCTTGGTTGGCCGATCACCTGCTTCTGATGTGCTTGGGAAAGGGCTAGGTGTGACGCATGGCAGGGCAGGAGCAAGGCATGGTGAAGCGGACACACCACCTGTTGCATGGACGGTTGCAGCAGTGCCTAAAGTAGCGGAGGAGAAGGAGGCAGATGAGGAGGCAGCAGGGGGCGAACATCAGACTGCTCTGCAGCGTGCCAACATACAAGAAGCGATCCGCCCACGCAGGGAGCATCTCAACGGAGGCTCGGCACGACGGAGCTCTGGTGACTCTGGTTCGGGAAGCCGTGGTTCGGGGAGCTCTTGGTCTGGTGAAGCCAGGAAGGAGGGAACGTGGCAGAAGGAGGGTGGCCTTGGTGGGGTGGCGTCAGGAGTTACCTTTGGTGCCACGTGTCAGAATCCTAGTGGCTCGTGGACGAGCTATGACATCCAAGTGTCTGCCTCTCTCTCGGACTCCAAGAGGCAAACATCCATCCCTTCTCCCTCCAACCTTTCTTCCTCCTCCTCTCCTTCCTCCCCCTCTTCCCCCCTCCATTCCCCCTCCCCCTCCCCTTCGCCGTTCCTCCCATCTGGTAGTTCCCTGCCTTCCATTGAAGTCTCCAACTCCCCGATACTGTCACTCTCAGGCTCGAAGGAACAGACATCCATCCCTTCTCCCTCCGACCCCTCCTCCCCCTCCTCCCCTTCCTCACCCCTCCTTTGCCCCTCTCCATCCGCCTCTCCGTTCCTCCCCTCTGGTAGCTCGCTGCCTTCCATTGAAGTCAGTAACTCCCCGTTACTGTCACTCTCGCCCTCCATCAGCAGGCCTGGGCAGCCATCACCCTCGCTACAGTCACCCTCTGTGGGTACGGCAGGCGTGTGGGGCAAGGGAGGCATGCAGGGGTGGGGCGGTGAGGAGAGGGAGAGGGAGAGGGGCGAGGGGGAGAGAGGTGATGAGGAGAGGGGAAAGAGTGGTGGAGGGAGGGAGAGCAGCGGAGTGGGGAGGTGGAACGAGGAGAGGGGGTTTCTGAGCAGGCGAGCTCCTAGTGGCAGCAGCCAGGAGGTTGACGAGGATGGGGAGGAGGAGGACGAGGAGGAAGAGGAGGAGGAGGAGCAGGAGGAGGAGGATAGAGATGAGGATTGGGACGGGGATTGGAATGGGGATGCGGGTGGGGATGGGGATGGAGGTATGGATGATTACGGGGATGAATTTCAAGATGATGAGTCACAGGAAATGGAAACAGGCGGTGTGGGGAGAGTGCTGTCAGCAGCACGCAGGGCGGAGGGGAGGGGGAGGGGGAGGATCATCATGATGGCGCGCGGCAGGGGGAGGAGGGTGCGGAGGGGCGGGCGGGGCGGGCAGCAGGAGGTGGTGCCGGAGGTGGGTCGGATGATCCGGCCTCAGGCGCCCCTGCGGCTGAGCTATGGCGTGAGCCCCGAGGCTCTGCGCACGGTGAAGCTGCGGCGCGTGCGCGATTCGGAGGAGCGGTGGGAGGCAGAGAGAAGGGAGGAGGAGAGGAGGGAGGAGGAGAGGAAGGAGGAGGAGAGGAGGGAGGAGGAGAGGAAGAAAGAGCCTTTACGCCCGGTCAAGCAAGAAGGTGGGAGGGGGCATGGGGGAGAGAGGCTAACGAATGGAGACAGCACTCGGGAGGGGGTGCAGAGTAGTCTGCGTGAGTCCACTGCCAGTAATGCATCAGTGTATAACGTGTACAGAGGGGTGGGAGCGGATCCTGGTGCTTCCGTGTCCACTGCCGGGCGAGCAGCTGAGTCGGACAGCCAAGGCGGCACCGTTGGGGGTGCAAGTGGGGGAGGTGGGCTGCCGGTGTGGGGGGGACGGGCGCGGATGGTGACTGCTGGGGGGAGAGAGGAGGGAGGGACGGGGCATGGCAGAGTGAGAGGGGGTGTGGGAGGGAGGGGGTTGGGTGGGGGGAGAGGGAGGGGGAGGGGGAGATTAGGAGAGAAGCTGAAAGAAAGTCCGTTCTTGAAAAACAGCACCTGCGAGTCAGCTACAGAACATGGGTAAGTACGGTAGCTGCGAGTGCCGTTATTGTAGATAATACCGTGTTGTGATAACCCGGCATATGTTTAGGTAGGATACGGGAAGACCGTGTCATAGTGCATGGTAGATACTAGAACGTTTTTCTTTTTGTACTTTGGAGATAAAAGTGGGAGGACCATCCCTTTGGGAGTTACCTTCTAAGGATCCTTATTCTGCGCGTCAGTTAATATCAGGAATTTCTTCGTAATCTGACACATTCAGCGCGTCAGACTCGAAATCTGATCTGACACATCCAGAGTGTCAGATCTCGGCAAAATTGAACAACGCGACAGACTGCAAACTTTTCTCAATCCCATCAACCAAGCTTGCACCGCAGGTAGGGCGACCGAACCCCCCGCAAATGAATCGACCTACAAACGCTTTCGCGATTGTATCTGCCATTTTTGACGGGTTAGAGTCGGTGTTCCCTCTCGATGTCATTGTGTCGCATGAGGTCGTAACTATTGCTACATTGGTTTTTTTTTTTTGGGTTGCGAAGCAACCTATTACGATCGTTATGTACAATTTTTTTTTTCATCCTCTACTCTTAAAAAAAAATAAAGGATGAAAAAAAACTAATGAACAGTAGCTGTAAGTGACTGACTTCTATGTATTTGCCACATCAATTTACCATGTGCCGAACCACATTCCTTCTCTTTCCTAGCTTGTCTTCCTTCTCTTTTAATGTGTTATGAACGCATAACTGTTTATTCAGTGATGCATATGCATGATGATGTTATGCGTAGATGAAGTAATTGCAAAATGCATAATTATAATGCATATGCTACTGTGGTAGTAAAATGAATGCATAGCATGACGAAAATGCGTAACAGTTAATTGACCCAGACCCTATGCTACCGCATCCCCTGCCTAGCATGGGGGGGAGCTCAATAGCATAGGTCCTGAATCATCCAACTATCACATGAAACAACACGATCTGTGTGATCTAAAAAAAAGGTCAATTCTATCAAAACCAGTTCGAATGGACACACTCACTGAGTGCGCAAAGAACCTTCTCGGAAATGATAGTTTGATCCCATTTTTTAAAACCCACAGACATGTGTTATTGATGCAATGAAACATGGATGAAAGCACATACGCACACAACACAACACATGCAAATGATCATACACATTCACACATACGCGCACGCACGAAGCCACTTGACGAAGCATATAAACCGCAGATAAAATAAAAAACTAAATCATCAAGACATCATGTATCCTATACCGTAAGTCACAAGCAATATCAGTCTACTTCTCGTATTGAGCTCGACTGCCTGGAGGGCAAGACAAAACTGGGTTGAGGAAGAGAAGGCAAATGGGAAATAACAAGGCATAATGGGAGAAAAAGAAACACATTTTTTTACACACTCATAAGCCGACACCACGCAATAGGTTTGAAACCAACGCAACATTAGCTGAGCTTATCAGTATGCTTTGGAAAAACGATAGCGTATTTTGGAAGGGAAAAAAAAAAAAAAAAAAAAACAGAAACAAAAGCAACGGTTTCCAATCCTGAATGAAACGAAGTAGACAGATGACAAGAGAAGTAAATTGAAGGGAGAAGAGAAAATAATTTGATGAAGCAAGAGTTTTATTTATATATATAATGACACTATTGAAAGAATGAACCGACAAACAAAAACGAAATGAAAGGGGAGGGAAAGAATGACACTATCAAACGAATGAAAGACCTACACAGAAAGAGCCTATGGAACAACAGTAGAACGAATGCATGCAATTATAGAAAATAGTAACAGAATATCGCGAGAAGGATATCACTTTCTAACAAAACGAAAGAAGGAGCACTAACATTACAAATTGACGCAAATTGAAGAACCCATGAGGTAAAGAAAATAAAGTTTAGTTAATGAAGGAGGGAGGAGGGATGGAGTAAAAGGCGGATGGAGGGAGGAAGGGAAAGAAGGAGAGAAGGAAATAAAAAACGGCCAATGTCTTAAAACCATGCCATGCTCCCGGTCACTCTCTCTGTCTTTGTCTCTCTCTCTCTCTCTCTCTCTCTCTCTCTCTCTCTCTCTCTCTCTCTCTCTCTCTCTCTCTCTCTCTCTCTCTCTCTCTCTCTCTTTCTCTCGCTCACGTTCTTTTTCCTTTCTAAGGAAGGACGGAGGATAAATCTAGGAGCATAAGGAAACAAAGATTGACGCGATCGTATGAAAAGAGCAGAATAGGACAGAAAACATGGAGGTAAAACAAATGCTAGCAATAATACATAAACAAAGTTTAAGGAAAAGGGATGGAGAAGCACAAAAAACTCACCATGCGCGGCTCTACATCTCTGAACGACGACGCTGTTGCAGTCCACGTCCACGGTAACAAGCACCGCGGTTGCAATCGGAAACGCAAATGATGTAAGCAAGAAATAGAAAACAGGTTGAGCGGTAACGAAGTAGTAACGGTTCTCGATTAGTTTAACATTAGATTCTAAGATAGAATAGATTAACAATAGAAGAAAAGAATGGAAATACCATAAATCGTGATGTGCGAACTTCTGTTCATGAAGAACGAACTTACCTATGTACGAGTTGTGAAAATGAGAACGAGAATGGATGAACTATGAATGAAGTGAGTACATATAGGAAACCCTAATTGGGTTGTACCTCCTATGGGATACCCCACTATAGCCTACACAACAGCATAAGCTATATATATGTTCTGACACACCCCCATAGGCAAAGTGGGGGAGAACAAGGGGTCACAAGACCAGTCACGCAAAGAACAGCAAGCTCAGGGTGGATCACAAAGTCACCACACAGTCCGAGCACAACGACAAGGCCACAAGGCCAGTTCACATGCAGGAGTGCACATATATATATAGAACTAGACAAGCAAGAGCAGGTATATATATGTGAAAGTACAAGCAAGGTCAAGAGGAGAGCAGGTGAGGCAAGACAGGTACAAGACCCAACTGAGTGCAGAAGCGCTGATGGTCACAAGGCGGAAGTGCCTTGGTGAACACATCAGCAGTGTTGGCCTCAGAGGCCACGTACGCAAGTCGCAACTGACCACGCTGCTGCAGCTCACGAGCAAGAAAGTAACGGAGAGCAATGTGCTTCGTTCTGTGCTCCAAGCGCTGCTCTCGACACAAGGCCAGCATGGCCTTGTTGTCTACGTACAGCACTGGAGGAGAACGAGGCGGCTCTCCAAGGTCAGTCAGCAGGTAGGTGAGCCAGCGAAGCTCCTGTGCAGCCATGGCCCCGGCGTAGATCTCAGCCTCACAACTGGAGCCGAGAACAGAGGACGAGCGAGTAGCCCGCCACGAGACAGAGCCGGAACCAAGACTGAAGGTGTAACCCTGCGACGACCGCTGCGTAGCCTGGTCGTCAGCCCAAGAAGCGTCCGCGTGCCCAGTGAGCACCACTGGACTCCGCCCTCCAAGCACTAGCCCCATGCCCGACGTACTGCACAAGTAGCGCAACACCCTCTTCGCTGCAGCCATGTGCTCTGGTCGGTGTCTCCCAGGAGCAACATAGCGTGCAAGAATGCTAAGAGGGTATGCAAGGTCAGGTCGTGTGCAGGTCATCAGGTACATGAGGCAACCAACAAGCTCTGGGTACGGGCCACTCGACTCTACGGACTCATCCGAAGGCAGAGCTGAGAGCGAGTGGCGAGTAGACAGAGGAGTGGCCTGAGGCGAGGAGTACGTGAAGCCGAAGCGCTGAAGGACCTGCTGCACCATGTGTGACTGAGTCAAGGTAATGGTGCGGCGTGCTCTGTCCCTAGTGATCTGCAAGCCAAGGTAGCTGCGCAGTTCACCCAGGTCTGTGCACGTGTGTCTCTTCTGCAGCTCGGACTTCACGTAGGCTAGTCCAGCAGTGTCAGCTGTGGCAAAGACCAAGTCGTCGACGTACACGAGGATGTAGAACGGCGGCAAAGAAGTGTCGGTGCGCAGAAACAACGACGGGTCAGCAGTAGAGGGAGCAAACCCAAGAGCCGCAAGCGTAGTCCTCAGTGTGTCGTGCCACTCACGCGGTGCCTGGCGGAGACCGTAGACTGGCCGTCGGAGGCTCCACTGGGTGCCAGGAGGGAAAGTCCCAGTGAAGCCAGGTGGACGGCGCAGCCAGATCTCCTCGTGCAGGCTACCCTGCAAGAAAGCAGTGCTGAAGTCAAGAGAGTGGAGCTCGTAGTCGCGCTGAGCGGCTATGTGCAGCAGCACCCGAAGAGTGGTCATCTTCGGGGTGGGAGAGAAGGTCTGAAAGTAGTCAACTCCCTGCCGCTGACTGAAGCCACGAGCGACGTACCGCGCCTTGAAGACAGGTGGAGAGCCCGGCGGCCGCTTCACCCTGAAGATCCACATGCCACTGACGATGTTCGCCCCAGGAGGGGGAACCGCGTCAACGTAGGTGCCTGTGGACTTCCAGGACGCCATCTCTGCATCCATAGCTGCCTGCCACTGAGAGGAGTAGGGACCCTCTACGGCCTCCGCGTAAGAGCGCGGAGTCGGGATGTCTAGTGCATCCGGGTCTCCCTCAGGGGCAAGTAGTACGGACGCGAGATGAGGTGAAGCAGCAGCCAGACACTGGAACTCCTCCTGCCTGTCCTCAAGGACGTCCGTGCCAAGAGCACACTCACCCCCGACGGACGGAGGACAGACAGACGCAGACTCAGCAACAAGACCGGCAGCGTAGTCTAGACGACAGCGAGCAGCAAAGTCGACGAGCTCCGCAACAAGAGCAGACGCAGCAGTGGACTCAAAAGAGGGGTCAGTGACGACAGTAGCAAGGAGACGTGTGACAGTAGGACTGGTAGCACGAAGAGAGTCGGACTCTGGGTCGGTAAGTGCAGGAAGAGAGGACTCAGGAGGGGAAGGCAAAGGGGCACGCAGAGGAGCAGTGGACGGACGCAAAGACATCCGGTGCGTGCCAGGGACAGGAGGAGGACGCTGACGCGAACCGCGACCACTAGCGCGAGCAGCACGAACAGGCGACGCAGGACGAGACGCAGGCTCACGACGCTCAGCAAGACCTCCAGTGGGACCAGTGTAAGGAGAGGGAGCAGGAAGTGGGGAGGCGGGCTCTAACTGGGACTGTGACTGAACAGGCGGTGGACACGCTGCAGGAGGAGAAAGACCAAGAACCTGCTGTAGGAGTGGAACGAAGTACGGCCGAGGCCGCGCGGCGACTCCAGACACAGCAGGGACAGCACCCTCAGCAGCAGCACCAGCGCCA